TCAAAATTAGATTTTATTGTGATAACCTTTCCAACACAATCGATCAAAGTTTCTTATTTTGTTTGCGTTCACAAAGTGAACAGAATCAAGGAAACTATAATTAATACAATAACATTGTGAGCGTTTTTCATGCTTGTCGCATCAAAATATCATGAATGAAATGTAGATGAAACCATCTTTTGTGGAAGGGGCGGTGGAAGTCGTGAAAATAATTGCATATATTTGCTTTTCAACAGAAAAAGATAAGTCTAATGAGTGATAACGTCAAAATTATGTCTGTGCATGTCATCAAATTATTTGGCGCTATCTCACCTCAGGTTGTCCGTGATTGTTCTCTTCTGGAAGAACCAACGGAACTTGTTCTTGAGGAGCTACTAAAAATTTAAAATCAAACAGTTCAGTACATTAGTGGGCTGTTAAAAAGGAAAAGATTATTTAATTTGTCGGAGAACCTTCTGTCGCAGTGCCGTCCGCCATGTTTGACTCTCTTGTTACCAAGAAATGCTCGCAGTATCTTATGGGATACTATCGATTCTTTGAAGGTACTCACTAGGGTAGCTAGGGGTTATTTGTGATCTTAATGGTCAAAGTCTGAAGAAAAGTTATACGACTATGGATTCTTATAACCTAAAAGAAAAAATAAGGATTTTGTATCCTCAAATAGAACAAATGTTTCACTCTGTTTTTCTATCTTTGCCTTTCAAAAGTTCTTTGATACAGTTTGTACTAGAGTAGCGTAAATTCCTTGATTAGGGCTTTAGAAAGAGATAATTTCTTTCATTTATTCTTAAAATCGAAATTTTTCTCTAGCGGTTAAGTCACAAACAAGGGTTTTTTGTTGTTGTTGTTTTTGTTTTTTTTGTATTGCTTCGACCTTAGTGGGGTGCAGAAGGGGATATTTTTGTCATGGTTTCGCCAGTCACGTGACGAAAAGAGGACACTTGGCTCAGATCAGCACCAACCATGATGGTAAGAAATTGTGAAAAACAGCTGTTTAATTGCGGAACTCTTCACCAGTGCATAATAAATTTCTTTGATATTTGTTTAACATTCTCTACAGGATGCGTCGGATAGCGCAGACATGCTGGAAGATGAAAAAGTGAGTTGTGGAGTGATCTTTAATCTCGTACCTCAATGTGGCACTTTTGGGAATCGAAAATAGGAATCTGCTTCTGTCTTGATCTTTTAGAGTTACTGTTTCAATTTCTTTACAGACGCGGACTCAGTCGGTGGATTTGAACACAGACACATCCCTGGTGGTGGATATTTCAGACGCACTAAGTGAAAGAGAGCGTGTTAAGTTTACAGTTCATACGAAGGTAACAAAACTGAGTTTTCGTTTGGTGACAAATTGATCGCCTTTGTTCGCTGTTTAACGGCATTTAATTTTATTGTTTTCCAGACCACGCTGCCTGTTTTCAAGGAGAGTGACTTTTCCGTGGTCAGGGAACACGAAGAGTTTGTTTGGTTACATGACCGATACGTCGAAAATGAGGAATATGCGGGAATCATTGTATGTAATTAAGCTTCTACGTACTAGAATAGTCTTAATAGCAGCTAACATCGAATAGAGATTAATATTATCAATGCTTTGTCAAGAATGAAAGTCTCATCGTGCTCTGCGCTTTCTTGGTTCATTTTCATTTTGATTATAAACATCAGGTTTGATTCAGGATCGCAAATTTTCTTCATTCACGTTACATTACTTCATGCTCATTGGACCCACCCCTCCCCTCTTTCCCTGGCCAACCTTTGCCAACAATATTGCAGGTGCTTATGAGCTAATTTACACATTACTAGGTTAAATGAAAAGGTAAAGAGGAGTTAGTTGGTTTGGAATGCTGTGGTTACAAATTTATTTGATGTTTGCATTTTCAGAATGTGACAGGAGCAGGAGTGTTAATTTATTAAGTTTTTCCTCTTTTTCAAACATTTTTTTTTTCTGTTAGTCTTTGTATATATTTATGTCTTAAAAATTCAACATGGAGCCTTAAAAGTTATTCGGCAATAACTAAGATCAGGTGAAAATGTAAGCAAAGTAGTGCCAGTTAGCAACAAGATGCAGAAATTCATTTATTGATGAGAAGACATTTATTTTTGCCGGTGTTTCTGTCATTACAGCCATAAGGTAAAATGTAGGAACTCCTAATTTTCATAAAAAAAAAACAAAAAATGGGAAAAACTAACCAAGGGCTCAGTCATTGAAAACATGACCTGCTGTCCAAAGGTAACAAGATTTCATTCACTTACACAATTGTTTCAGCTACAATTTTTTCCTCTTAGATTCCCCCAGCTCCTCCCAAACCAGATTTTGATGTTTCTCGTGAAAAGCTGCAGAAACTTGGAGAAGGTAAATGCAAGCTATTGATTACTTTTTTCCTTATCTGTTTTTTTTTGTTATTACATTGGTGTATAATTTTTTAGGGCAGTGTGTAGAGAAATGTACTTGAACTGGTTTAGCTGCATTTGCTGGTAAAATGTTCTTGAATAAATTGTGTTATTCATTTAAGGTGAAAATACTATGACAAAGGAGGAGTTTCAAAAAATGAAACAAGAACTTGAAGCGTAAGTTTAAGTGTAATAGTGTTGGTATAAGAACAGGTACAGTGCGGAGATAAAGCTGGCTTTAGGTTTAAAATGGGAGGGTACTGCAAGATAATATGTGGGCTAAAAAGGTAACTTGAGGTTTACTTCATTTCACATTTTAAAAAGTTGGTCAATTATTAACTTGCCTGAATGCTGGATCTGGTATGCAGCTCCTGCCTTCTGGTGAAACCCTGGATAAAGACAATTTTCTCCCATCAAGTTTATATCTTTTTTTTCTCAGAACTGACAATAGGGTCCCACATGTAACTCTAGTTTCAGAATACTTGTTAAAACTGTATAAAATCTTAAGATATATTTGGAAAAGCTGAAAAGGGGTTTGGATCGAAAAAATTGAAGATTATTGAATTTAATGACACTTCTTTATGGTTAAGGTGAAAAATGTTGGCCACGCCTTCATCAAACTTTACAGGCTAGCTGTAAGAAATCGAACCAAAAAAATGAATAATGTGTAACAAAAATTACCTTTTAAAAGTTATTTCTTTAATAGTTATGTCTTGTTGGCATTTTAGAGAGTATCTTGCCACTTTCAAGAAAACTGTAGCCATGCACGAAGTATTCCTGACTCGCTTAGCTGCTCATCCTACTCTGAGAAAAGACAGCAACTTTAATGTGTTTCTGGAATTTAAAGGAGAGGTACACTGTATACATATGACTTAAATAGGAGATCTAGTGAGAGTGAGAAGTTAGATATCCTAACATTTCTGTTCTCAAAGATTAATCTGAGATCTGTTACGAAAACTCTGTCAACAATTTTACCCCCATCAGTGATCAATGAACAGATTCTCCTCTCAATTTTAGGACACTGATAAGCAGACAGTTGATGGGAATACAACAGTTTGTCTGGTCTCTATCTAACTTAAGATTCTCGAGGGTAGCTTACAAAGAAATACACAGTCATTAGTTAGGAGAATGTAATCTCAAATCTGGGGATTGAACAGTTTAAGACCCCGTAGTTTTTCTGTAAGTTGTAATAACTGTTTTTTTTTCTTATCTTCATCTCAGCTAAATGTAAGAGGCAAAAACAAAAAGGAAAAACTTGGAGGACTCTTCAAAGGTCTGGCCAAAGGCGTTGATGAAGTACTTTTGTCATCACAAAAGGTGGATAAAACTGATCACAGGAAATCGTTTGACTAAATTGTGATAACTTAATATGACTTACAAGAGAGGTCTTTGTTTTGAACCTAGTATTTGTAAATAGTGTTTACCAAATACTATTCATGTCCAAGCAGAGGAAGAGACAAAACCTTAGTATTGGTGAAAGTGATGGAATTTTATTGAGTTGTAAAGCGGAGAGGAAAATATCTACAATTAGTCACCTCCACTCCTGTGAATAATTGTTGATTATTGAATGAAATGGCAATACAACAGAAAAAAATGTAAGCACATTTAGTCTAAGGAAGTGTACCGTATGTTATTACATTTTTGATGTTGTTTTACTGGATTATATGTTGGTTAAGAAGTTCTTTCCAGATCTACAACATTTAATCCTTCTTTATTTTAGTCCTGTCACTTTTTCAATCATTTAAACTTTTCCTTCTTCTACTTTAGGATGTAGATGAGTTTTTTGAGGGTGAGAAGAAATTTTTAGTGGAATATAACATGAAGTAAGCTTGGTTATCTACTTTGATTAGCATTGCTGAACATGCTTAAAAAATGTGCAAATTTTGAGACCTCTTGTCCATCACATCCTTATTTGCAACTGACTATTAGAAGTGACCTTGGTTTTCTTTGCTTTTTTTGTTTCTACAGCCTTTGATTGGTATTAAAGAAAAATATTTTGCCACCATCTCAATCCTTGTGATTAATTTGGTTTTGGTTTACACAACACTTTATCCAAAAGTTCTTTACAATAGAATAGGGTTTGGGGCAACCAGGACTAGGGTCATGTGACTGTACTTGTGAAAAGTGCCACATGCATAGAAGGAGTCTGTTTGCTTATGCTCAGCAAATATTTTGATTTTATTAGGTGGCAGCACTTCAGACAAAATATTCCATAAATATTTTAGTCAAGAGAAAAGTACTTCTGTCCAGC